AATCAGATATTGTCAGGGTATAGGTGACTTTTAACACTAGCTACATCTACTATACGTCACCTATCCCTATTGATAATGTGACATATTCGGAACACTACAGATTATTACTGCTGAAACCCACTGGGTCCACATACAACCCTAGCTGCTTTTGTAATGCCAGTAACCATGGCAACCAAGGAAGGGTGGTGTGCATTAGGAAAGGTATTGTCAATTGTTGTAAGACTCCCTGCCGGCCTGCTCTTTTTAAAGTTGGTCGTAATTATCAGACTAGCTGGAGGTATGTGCAAGGAGCTAGGGAGGCTTTATCGCATTCACCAAGATATGAACTGGTTCCCTGCTGGGCTTGTCTAGAGCACAGCACAAAACTCACGTTTCACCTGGTTAATCAAATCCTGCCTCTCATAAAACATAAATTTTATGGTCGATACCGTGTTGGGAAAGTTACTAGGAACAATGCTTTTAAATCAAGGATTGAAAAAACATAAATATTAAAAAGCAATATATCTAAAATAATTTTATGTCATATTGAAATGCTGTAAAATTAAAACTGTCAATCATACATGAAAGATTAAGTACAGAAAATGTAATTTTTGTAAAATAGTAATACTTATATTTATAACATTTCACTGTATGTATATTCATTAATATTACTCAATTTAAAGGAGATATATATATCCTTTATAAGTATGCCCCCATATCCCAACACTTGCAAGAAATTTAAAGATATATGTCACAGTAAAAATCTTATTATCATTAATTAAGATAAACTACAATGTATAAGCTGCCTACAGGCATTTAACATTTTTGTGACTTTTAGTGTAAAATCTTTCTTTAGAAAAATTGAAAACCCCTGCTGGGGTCAATCTTCTGATCTACATGTACCAATGATAGTTATTTAAATAAATGAACTACCCACACATGAAAGAATAGGATAATATATAATATTTTACCTTTGTACCTATTTCAAAAGCATATGAATGTTTCAATGTAATTTTAATTTCTCGTAATACTGGCATTTTCATGCATAAATATTTTTTTTCTTTTTTAGGTTAAATATTAAAAAGAATTGATCAAAAGTTATGGCAAAAATGAATGATTCAAACCAACTTTTACCCTTTTTTGAAGTGCATTTTATGTTTAAATCCAATATTTATACTAAGGCCATTCCAAGTTATTTGTTTGTTTAGCATCCATGTGCCCCTTGGATTTTGCCTCCCTAGATATTAAGAAAACAAAATCAGAAGTTCCAAAATTGATTATTTTGGTGAAACCTTTGAATTCTGTCAATTAACAAGTGATCTAAAATTGTGTAGAATCTGTCAAATTATGTATATTATGCATTAAATACCATGACATGCAAAGGAATAGATCTTTCTATGATAAAAACAGTTTAATAATGAAATCAAATCCTTTGAATGATGTCATTTTTATAACTATAAAGTCTTATTTTTTGGGCTTGTGTGTGTGTGTGTGTGTGTGGGGGGGGGGGGGGGGGGGTTGTGGGTTGTGAAAAGGAAGGTAGGTTTTTGAACAATCGGGGACTCCCAACAGATAAAAAAATTGGAATCGCCAAAGTTGGCTGTTAATATCAGTGTTGTTACAATAGTCGCTGTCAGACTATCGAAAAATCGTCGCTGAAGGCAGCATGTCAGCAACAAACAATAGAAAATTTTAAAATCGAGTCGCTTATTTTTTTTCTAATTTTTTTTTTGAAACATAACGGTTTATCCTTGAACATTATCAAAGGATGTTCCTCTATTTTTCTTGCGAATAGCAGACAGATTTTCCCACTAAGCATTAATTGAAGTTGGTCTCACAGATTTCTATTGAAATATTGTTTTCATTTCCAAGGATATCTAAATATTTTATAATTAACTTTATTTAATTAAGCCTTTAAATTAAAGTTCAAATTATCGATCATATAATCATATGATTGTAAGCTACTGATTCAATTTGATAATTGATAGTAAATTTAGTCTGATTTTGCAATATTAGTTAATATGTCACTTTCTTGACAAGTCACACAATGTTTTTCTTGGGGGGGGGGGGGGGATAATTATGGGTCTACAAGAATTGATCAAGACAACTGAATTCAACATATTATTTTAATTTCAAAAAGTTCAGTGTCCCAACATCTCGACTATATCAAGTCTTTGCTAATTTCACACAGTTAAACTTTTAAGAATTATCAACCTCACCTTTTTATCATTAAGTAATCTTGGAAAACCTTTGAGGCATCTATGCTTATTTTAAATGTTTTGTTACCATTTAATTTAATTTTGTTTCTCCTTCTCTCATCATTTTAGTGAATTTCAACTCTACCATCACTTGTGATGCAAACACAACAAATTGATGTCATTTCTTAAAAGGGCTGTTACTCTAATCTCAAAAAGAAAACATTATGGAAAGTGGTTTCTGTAATAAATGATTAATATGATTTATGTAACAAATGTAAGTTCTATGGTCGATACAATGACCTTGTCAGCAAAAACAATCTTTCATTAAGTCATATGCTAACTGACTTTTTTCATACTAATTGTCAGGCCATTATTTACACACTGATTTATTGACGGATTTTTCTGTTATTTCCCAATCATGACAAGGAGCACATGGCGGGTGTGACCAGTCAGCAGGGAATGCTCACTCCTCAATGGCACCTGATCCCACCTCTGATGTCTTAGAGGTCCGTGTTTGCTCTGCTCCAATTTTGTAATGTTTAATGGACTTTTGAGCTCCAATACTGTTCGTTATCTCCACATATTTCATTCCATATTGCTGGATATTACATGTAATTCTCACTTGCCAGAAATAGAAATAAAGCAGACAGTCCTGTGTCACATTTAAACCAATGAGAGCATGACATTCCAATCCCAAGGAAAATAATATTCTATGGTATATTGTAACTGTCTTGTCTAACCTGTCTAATATGCCCATCATACAATTTTTTTGAAATATATATTTTTGTAGTACATGTATTCATATCACATTTTTTGTAAATTCTGAATACGTTACCCACACTGAATTTCAATGAACACCTAGCTGCAGAAATGTAGCCTTGCCTCATTCTTACGATGACTTTTAATGGGATCCTATTTTCTCTCATTCAAAAGTTTTGATCAAGGTTAAAAATTTTGAGACAAACAGTAATTTGGAAGGCCATGAAGGACAATGGGACTATGGCACAACTGTTAAAGTTTTTAATGGGCCATTCTGAAAATCAATGTGCCTTCTATATATTCTGTACAGCCATTTTGAGAAATGACTCATAAAATATGACATATGCAAGAAAACACAATTTTTATTAGGTAAATCAAATTTTTCGTGTATGCAGTGCAGCACATTTACAGGAACCTGCATACAATATGATTTACCTATATTTTTCAGATCAATATAAACATTAAAATTTGGATTGAACATTGTAAATGAGTGAGGAAATTATTATTATGATCGGGATCAAAGTCATCTATTTACACACTGTATGCTTTGGATTTTTATCTTCTTATAAAAAATTGCCAACAGATTTTAGTTTTTTTTCATTTTCAACTCAAAAAAAAAAAAAAAATTAATTTCTTCACAGAAAAATCACCTGTTTAATCAGACAAGTGCCCAGCAGTAATCACTTGTCTGTGAAAATTATCACTGGTACTGGACAAGCGGACAAATGTTAATGTTGAGCCCTAAAGTAATGCTTATCTATGATATCTCTAAACCTGGGTAGGTTAAGGTTTTATCCTCCAACCCACCCCCACAAACCCATAGTGATGAACATCTGTTGATTTTCATATTGGATCATTGGTTGGAATCGGTTACTACTTCCGATGCGATTTTACCAATTATAATTGGATGTCATAATTTTGTATATATTATATTGTTTTCTTTGTTGTTTTGCTTCTTTTACACTTTCTATATATGCACCTTTTGGTTCTTAATCTCTGCTTTGTGCTAGTTGGCTTTGTAACACATAAGTATGGTGAAAGGTGTGATGCATGTCCATATGAACCATTAACCATTAACCAGGCACTGTTAGCATTAAAATAACAGGTGTAGATGCCATTTTCTTTCATTACAAAGAAATAAATTTTAAACCAGGAATGGATAATTCTGGGATGCACTTTATAGGAAGTACGCTTCCAATGATCAATATAAAAAATAACACCGTATATTAACATGATTAAGTGGAATGTTTCGAGAGATTTTTGTTCTAAAAAATCTGCATTGAATTTTAGCGAGAAGTACTTTTAGCAATTTTGTGATGCCTTGAAAGATAACAGTAACCTCAAAAGGAGGAATAAAGCACTGGCAGATTTAGAGGCCCCCCCCCTTATGTGTCCAAAATATGCATAAGATTTAATAAATCAATTTTGTATGGTTTTGTATGGTGTTGCTGTGGGCCCCTACCCCGACCCCAAACTGGTCGGGCCACCCTTTTCAAGATTCCTGGATCTGCCACTGTAAAGTATTAGTGATATTTAATTTTATTCTCAACACCCTTGCTAAAAATGCCAAAATTGAATCCCCGCTAAAATTTCTGCTTATATGGTAATCCATCATCAGAATCGGTAGAATTTTTTTTGTCAACAATCGATGTTCTCTAATTATTGGTGCAACACTACAACCCCACCCCCTCCCCTGAAGAAAGTACTCAAAAATTTGAGAAGCAAAAAAAGAGTCAATTAATGGGAAACTCTTCTATTCATTACTTTCTTTCAAAACACAGCAATTCCTTGCTAAAAATTCATTTTGACCAGGAATTGGCTTATTCAATGTTTTTTGCAATCAACATGTTTTGGGTTTGGTCCAGATTACCATACAAGAAAAAGACAATTTTTAAGTCTACAACTAGGGCAGTATGCCATCATATCATTACAGATCCTTCAAAATTGAATTTTGCCTTAAAACTGGATACATCAAGTACATGTCATTTAAAATGAAATTGAAATGCTAGCTAAGCATCAGTATTACATACAAATTAAAATATTGGGGTTGTGCTCTGAACTCACCTGGTGAACACTCAAAATTTCGGTGATCCATGAATTGGGTCAGGTTACAGAAGACAGCCCCACAGGTGTCACATCGCAAATCAGAGGTCTCCTCGGAGTCGAATTTGACCATTTTGGCCACTGGACCAGTCAGGTCAGGGTCTGACTGAACATCATCTGCTGAGCTATACCCTGTAACTCCTAAATAAAAGAAAAACATATTATTAGATAATTCTTAGAGTTATAATACATTCCACTGAATAATCACATGAAACTTCTGAAGTTATTTGGTGAATAAATATATATATATGAACCATGAATATCAGCCAGGAGTGGCTCAGTGGTAGAGCACCTGACTTAGTAATGAAAGGGTCCCAGATTGGATTCTCAGTCCAGACATTTTTATTTGTATTTATTTATTCCTCCTCTCCTACTATACTTCATCAGTTGATTTCTAGATTTCTATTTTTTAACTGTTGACTGCTTTAATCAGATCATACATTTATATTATACTGGTATGTGAAAAGCATGAACACCTGACAATTATGGAATAAATTCCTTGGCAAATAACACTTTATATCTGCTCACTTTGGCAACTCTGAAGCCTTAAAATGGAAAGGATGGAGTGGCTGGGGGTTTTAGAACAGCAATTCAGTAACTGTGTGTTGTCAAAGGTTGCAGTGGTCTTTTTTAACTCTTGTGATTTTCATATAAATTTTGAGAGTTACCTTTTGGCTTTTGTAATGGTAAAATTGAGTGATCATTTCCATATTCAACAAGCATTCTGAGAGAATTAAGCAATACTAGTCTCCTACAGGCAAGTGTAATCTGGTTCCCCTAAATTAAAAAGGCTGTAAGGTTGTCAAAACTCAAAGAAACAGAATCAAAATTGATCTGTAACTCATTGAGGTACACTCCCCTACCAAAAATAAGCTCAATATCTGCAAGCATTAAGAAACAGGAGGCCCATGGGTCACATCGCTCACCTGAGCACATTAGCTAGTATCAAGGTCCAACCTAGGGGGCGACTGAGGCGAAATAGTCGCTTTTGAGGTCCAAACTTCACTGTAATTTCTCACGAAAGAGAAGTTTAAGTCGCCTTAACATATGCAACCCCTTTATTGAAAATCATAAAAAATCTATTAAGAAACTTGGTAGTATCGTCACTATTTTATAAATCTGATTTATTAATGCTGAAATAAGTGAAAAAGCAGGGCACTTGCACCTGTTTTGCCTGTAATGACCAATGCACCAAATACTCTGTCGGAACTCCTCTTGATTTTACCCTTCCGTGTATGAAAAAGTCCATTGTTACAAATTATACACAACAAGACGCAAAACAGCTGGACAGCTATCGATGTCATGCCAAAGATGTTGGAGATCAGTCTTCGCCAAATCTTTTTTTCAGTACATGCCCTTCGGGCAGGTTTAACCACTTATTACGCTAGCCCGAACAAATATTTACATGCCCAGAATTTTATCAAGTAATTTTATTCTTATTTGCCTTTTCATGCCAAGGAAATGATCCGAAATCCATTTCTATAGATCTATTGTCTTGCCATTAATATTGTTTTCAACCTGTACACTTTTTGTGTCTCCTTTGCAAAAGAGTTCCTTGGAAGTCACGTATTGTTTTCAATGTGTATACTTCTTGTGTCTCCTTTGCAAAAGAGTTCTTTGGAAATCGCGGTAGAATAAACTATCGTTAATATTTTATTTGGTGCTCCACTTTAGATGAAAAATCAGACTTTTAAGTACATTTAATGTTATTGGTATTATTTAAGTTGATAATACGGAGGCTTAGGCCTCAGAATTTACATGCCCTTCGTGCATGTAAGTATGCAATTTCCACATGCCCGCTTCCAATTTTACCAGGTCCCGGGCTTCGGACTCCCAGGATTTGTCGAAAACTGGGAGATGATTTTAGATCTTTTTATTGTCAAATAATAAATACATGTTGTGAATACAGACATATTTTACTGTTAAATTGTGGAGTTATTAACTGTCTAAAGAAATTACACATCTGATAAACATAAGTAGTTCAATCGGCATGCAGTAGTGCATCAAAACTTGTTTTTTAGAAAAAGAATTTATTATTGAAAACGAATTTTGAAGAGAAAATAACAAAATTATGACTATGCCAAGAGCCTGAAAATCTAACCCTGAGAGGAGAGAAAAATGTGTGAATCATTTAAAAGTTTATTGTGCATACTATGCAAGAAATGAAAAAAAGTTTGATAAACAAGTTTATCAATTAGAAACTTTTATATTGTCATATTGTTTTATATATTTTGCTAGATATTTATATAACTTGTAATTGGAAAAATATAAAGTTTTTTTTTTTTTTTTAAATCTTTTTTCTCTTTTTTAATTATTTTTACTATAGGATGTTTAAATAATACAGAAAAAATTATTGAAATGTATTTAAGTAATAAACAATGAAATGTTTTTATTTTTAAAAAGTTTAATAATGATCAATGTGCACAACACGTGCCAAGAAGTCTCCCTAGAATTCAAAACTTCTCCCTATACATTTCTCTGAGGGAGAAGTGAAGTCTCCCTAAATTTTTGGTCCAGGTTGGTCCCTGTAGTGTAAAGCACAACTCAGTATTGAAAAGTTTACATGGGGATGGGGGGGGGGGAGGGGGGAAGGACTTGAATTTTACACTACCTAAAGATGCTTCCATGTCAATTTATCTAAATAATGGATTTGCTTTTCTATGGCAGAAGATCTTTTAAGATTTTTTAAAAAGATTTTTTCCTTTATATTCCTTTGTAAAACTTTGATTCCCCATTGTGGCCCCTCCCTCTGCCTGGGGGTCATGATTTAATCAAATTTGAATCTACACTACCTAAGGATGCTTCCATATCAATATGACTAATCCTGGCTTTGCTGTTCTTGAGAAGATTTGTTAACATTTTCATTTCATACTCCTAAGTTAAACTCTGATCCCTAATTGTGGCCCCACCCTACCCCTGGGGGTCATCATTTGAACAAATTTGAATCTACACTACCTAAGGATGCTTCCATATCAATATGAGTAAACATAGCTTTGTTGTTCTTAATAAGAAGATTTTTAAATGATGTTTTCTTATATACTCCTATGTAAAACTTTGATCCCCCATTATGGCCCCACCCTACCCCCAGGGGTAATCATTTGAACAAACTTCAATCTAGACTATGTAAAGAAGCTGTCACATAAGTTTCAACTTTTTTGACCCAGTGGTTCTTGAGAAGAAGACTTTTAAAAGATACCACCAAATTTTCACGATTTCTGAATTATCTCCCCTTGAAAGAAGGCATTTTGAATAAACTTTTATTCCCTTCACCCAAGGATGCTTTGTGGCAAGTTTGGTTGAAATTGGCTCAGTGGTTCTGGAGAAAAAGTTGAAAATGTGAAGAGTTTACAGATGGACAGATGGATAGACAGACAGCAAATGGGCAGATCGACAGAAAGACTACAGACAAAATGTGATCAGAAAAGTTCACCTGAGCTTTCAGCTCAGGTGAGCTAAGAAGTGTGGAAAACCAAGTGGGACAGACAAACAGGACAGAGAGACAAGGAGGAAACCTATAATCCCCTCCAGTTTCACAGGTACGGGATTAATAGTCACATTAAGAGATAATTTTCCATAGTAATGCACATTAGAGGACCCTCTGCTTTTCTGAAAGCTACATAAAATATCAACTTAAAATATGACATCTACGGTAACCATGAATAAGTTTTAATAGGGGTATGAAAATAGCAAAAATTTGGCTATGAATACTCAGAGAGATGTATATAGCCATGATGAGGCCTCAATGTAGAACAAGTTATTATAGACAGAAACACTTGTAAACTTTGTCAAATATATCAGGATAAAATAAAGGGAAAATGTAATTCAGTAATTCCCCTGATGAATAGCTTTTATGAAAAAGATAAACTAAGATAATAAATCTCTTTGCTTGGTGAAGGTTAATATTAAAGGCTCTGAACATCAAAGAAGCAATATATAAAAATCTCAACCTAAGTACATGTAAGGTCATGACCTAGTAACAGTTTTAAGTTAACCTTCATACATAATTCAGTAATTTTACCTTGGTTAGGAGACATTCCTTTCTGGGATGAGATGGAAGCTCTGCTGGCCTCTTCTTCACTTCCTGTTGGGAGATTTTTATTTTCTCCTTCTTCATCGTCACCTGGAACAATTAAGGTTTTTTTTTTTATTCAAAATAATCTGGCACTGAAGTCATGTTTTTCACAAGTGTCATGATGGAAACAATGGTATACAGAATTAAAATTAAACACCTAGTTCACTAAGTTCAGGTGGACTACTGGGGGGTTCCCTCTATAGTAAGGAATTTACACAGTGGGAGGGTGGCCCCATATGTTGGTCTTTCATACACAGAACTTCTAAAGCAATTAAAATGACAGGTTCATAGCAGAATTTCAGTATAAAATCTTTGAATTTTATGTTCTGTACTTAAAATAAAATTAATAAAATAATTGTTTTTCTTCAATAAATTTCTACAAAGTAAAAATTTTACCAGCCCCAAACTTATCAAAAGCTTAATTAATCTTATACTCAATGGTTACATAAAGAGAAGAGACAAAAATTACGATTTCATTGATGTGTCAGATTTCATTTTAAAATGAATACATCAAAATTAATGCTATTAATTTACTTACGTTTGCACAGCCTAGGTCGAGCTTGTTTTCTTCGAGACATTTTATTCTACTAAATAAAAACAATTGCCGTTTGGTGTTCAATTGTTTAAATCCCAAACAAAATCACCTATGAAAATAAATTCGTTTCATTTCTTTTTTCTCTCTCTCTTTTTAAATAAAAGGACGTCTATTCGAATCAGCCGTCAAAAGAGGAAAGCGTTTGCACAAGTTTCCTCTGAAAGCTTAAACACAGCATGTGGGATTTTTGCTGTCGACGTCAGAAATAAATATTGAATAGCTCTGTAACTAAAGCACCCCCTGGGGAGGGTCCATTGGGAGTTCGGCGCGCATCGACAGCTGCGCGGCTCGAAGTCCCGCGCGACCTGAGCTGATCGTCGAATCAATACTGGTAATTTCAGCCGCGTTAGCTGGGTGTATGGAACTATAATAAATGATCCGATCCAGCTTTCCTGAGGGAGGCGGTGCATGCTGGCGGTCCCAGCAGGGTTCCTTTCAATCATCGAGTCGTCTTACCTAAGTCAAATTGAAAGTAGATTTGCGCATATCCTGGTGCATGGGAGATAACTCTTGTAACACACTACTTTCGTTTTGTTCACCTTTTTTCATTTAGTAAACTTTGCATTTAATATTTACTGTATGAAAAATATCCCTTTAAATCCTGGTTAATTTACTCTTACGTTCCGTAGAATTCGTCTTCAGAGATCGAGATATATTGTAATTTAGGTAGGGTGATAAGTTTGTTTGATAATCGGAAGTAATTACAAGACTTGTATCGCCCCTGTATTTCTTGTATATATTTCATTTTATTGCACTAAGCTAATTATCTTAAGTTATTTAGAACATCAGACAACTCAGATGAAAAGTCTATCAGAAAATCAACACCTCTATAACTGTACATAATATACCTATATAATCATGTCTCCAAAAACTATTTTCCTTTTCCTCTCCACACTACTTTGGCTGGTGTTGTCCTATACTGTTGACGGCTTCATTAACCCTACCTTTCTTTCTAACAGTGGAAGAAAACTGAGCTAAGGATCGCAGTTTCAAACATTTTCATTTATCACATTTTTTTATCGTTCATTCATTCATTCATTCATTATTTATTTATTT